TAAGACACAGTTTTTTAAGTTATAGTCATAATCATAAAAGCAGTTAATATTTAAAGTATGAATCTTAAGACTAAAGTTATGGTTCTGTAAGATGGAATGATCTAACATAAAGTAGATGTATCAGAAGGCAGATGATATGCTCCATCCTCTTCCTTACTTCACCTCTCATTTGCTTAGCTCTGGTGGTTTTGCATTCTCCTGTAAGACCGTTTAGCTTGAAAAAATGCTAGAGAGCTTAATGCTGAATTCCTCCCAGTACAGTATTATGGCCACCACATATGAAACATTGCAGTCCTTCCTTGCTGCCATTTCGATTAGTGCATTAAAGCCTGTCATGAGCCAGATGTGATCTGCCAGCAGGAGCAGAGCAGGATCATGAAACCATGGCTCAAGGAGGAGCATGAGTGGGTGACATCAGTCCATTGCTTTAGGTCAGCTGTTCAGGGCAGACTCAGCCTCGATTGTAGGCTGTGGTATGTTAGCCCTGGCTGAGCAAGAGATGCCCACCAAACCGCTCTATCACCCTCCCCCTTTCGTCTCCCTTCTCTGCAGAGCAACAAGGGGAGAGGAAAATAAGATGGAGACAAACCCCCTTGTGGGTAAAAACAAGGGCAGTTCAATTAGAAAGCAAAGCCAAGCAATGCCACGCATGGAAGCGAAGAGAAAAACCCAAAGATTTATTCTGTCCTTCCCATCCCCAGGCAATGTCTGGCCCCTTCCTGGGAAGCAGGGCTCCAAAACGTGTAGCAGTTGCTCTGGAGGACCAAGGAGTAGCCCCCTCTCCTCATCCTTTGTACCAGCCTTATAGTTGAGTTGATGTCATATGGTATGGACTATCCCTTTGGCCAGTTCAGGTCAGCTGTCCTGGTTATGTTCCCCCCAAGCTCCTGTTTCCCCCCCCCATCCCACTTGGGGGAAATGTCAGAAAGAGCCTTGGTGCTGTGGGAGCCCTGCATCTTTAGTAGAGAAATGTTTTCCATTGATTCGGTTCATGCAGTTGTTTTTTTTTTTTCCGGAAGTTCTCTAGAAAACAGAACTAGCTTTCATAATAATATGTAAATTAATAGCAGGTGTAAACTATATAAATATTCTTTTAGATCTTTACCAAGTATCTTACATGAGTCGGGATTTTTTACCATCAGTGCATATTAATAATACTTAGCTTATAGATAACAGGACCAGAAATGTTAAATACTATAAATGTTGTTTCAGACCCAGAATGATTTCATGGTGATCTGCAATGTTGCAAAAATCTTAGAGCTGGTAGTGCCACTAATGGAACACCCAAGTGAGACCTTTCTTGCCACTATTGAGGAAGACCTCATGAAACTCATCATCAAATATGGCATGACAGTAAGTTTTTAATTGCTACTATTCAGTTGATTCCTTTTCACATTGTGAAATACATGGGTTTGATTTAATGAAAATCTGTCTTCATTATAAAAATAACATTTGCATCATGAAAAATTAGTGGGCTTGGTTTAATGTGGTTTGTATGTGTTGTTGCTGTATTTTAACGAGTTCAAGGAGGTTTTCAGAACAGTCTAGGATGTGGACATTACATCCATTAGATCATTAGCTTTAGTTCAGCATAGCTTTTTCCTACGTAACTTCACAAAAGTCTGAATTTTAACTTCTAAATATATAATTTATTTGCTCTTTCTTGCTCCTAGGTCGTTCAGCATTGTGTGAGCTGTCTTGGGGCTGTTGTGACCAAGGTCACCCAGCACTATAAATTTGTGTGGGCCTGTTTTAATAGATACTATGGTAAGTAAAATCTCAACATCTACTTGTCACTTTTTGGTTTTGGCTACAAATATTGTCTTATGGATATACCACAGTTCAACACTGTGACCAAACTTCTATCTTACTGTAGGTGCACTTTCAAAATTAAAAAGCCAACACCAAGAAGACCCCAACAGTACAATACTTACTGCCAATAAACCAGCACTCCTTAGATCACTTTTCACTGTTGGAGCACTGTGTCGACATTTTGATTTTGATCAGGAAGATTTTAAGGGCAGCAGTAAGGTAAAATAACTTGTATTTACTCTTCAGGTCTTAGATGTATTGAATGCTCTACTTGAATTTGAAAGCACGTTATTCCCAGTTCCTCAAGGCTATGTATATTTTCATAATGCATATAATACAGCTTTCTGGGGTTTAAATACATGGTTTTGCAAAGCTTATCCAGTAAGTTTGTGTTTCTTCTTTTTGATATTTATGCTTTTTATACAAGAATAGAAACATTTGTTTCATCTTCAAATATCTATTATTTTTGTTTTCATTTGCTCAGGTTAACATTAAGGATAAAGTACTTGAACTGCTGATGTATTTTACAAAGCATTCAGATGAAGAAGTACAGACAAAAGCCATTATTGGCCTTGGTAAGAAATATTAATATTTTGTATTATTCTGCTATAGTAAAAATCCATGCATATCCATAGGAAATCATGTATTTGTGTAGTGGCAAGGGATTTTGTTTAAAATCTGAATTTACTCCATGTTTTGTTTGAGAACTGGCTATAGAAAAGTTGTCAAAGGCATGCTAGTTGCATACTTCTGTAGAAGAGTGGATGCTTTCCAAAGTGAATGCCTTTTGAAGTGTGACCAAATCTTAAAGTGCAGCAGCTTTCCAAAGTTATGGAGATATTATTTTTAGCTCCACATGCAAGTATGTTCTAACTCCAAATCCTGTTTTTGAGTCCACAACGTATGGTTAAGAAACTGCTAGGAAAAGTGCTGGAAAAAAGTTTAAACATGTCAAGTGTAGGAGCAGATATTATGGAGGAGTCAAGGGAACTCCTGCAGTTTATACCAGCTGCGAGATGCTCTGTGAGTTTTCACAAGGCATCAACACATTGTAGTCTAGATATTGCAGTTTGTTTCAGGATTTTAGCTGTACTTCAGTTTTTAAATAGATTTTTTTATCTGAAGGCATTATTATGGTATTTCAGTGACTTGCAGTACGCCATGAACTGAAAGTTTGTGTCAAGATCATCTTCTGCCTAAGGACAAAAACTGTACCTGTGAGAGAATCTAGTTTGGGCAGATAGGCCTTAATATCTGGAAGATTACAGTTCATGGTCATGGCTTAGTCTAAAGAAAGTTGTCTCCCAAGCATGTGAGCTTGCACTGTATAGTTCAACTGTGGACAAGAATTTGCCACTTTGTTTCTGTGTAGGTGTCTTTTTAGACATCCTGAAGGATGTGAGGGTATTGGTGGACAGAAAGCTGGACATGAGCTGGAAGTGTGCATGTGCAACCCAGAAAGCCAGCTGTGTCCTGGAGTGCCTCAAAATAACCGTGGCCAGCAGGTCAAGGGAGGTGATTCTGACCCTCTGCTCCACTCTCAAAGACCCTCATTGGAGTCCTGTGTTCAGCTGTGGGGCTCCCAGCTTAAGAAGGACATGGACCTGGTGGAGCGAGTCCAGAGGATGCCCACAAAGATGATGAGATGGAGCACCTCCACTGTGAGGACAAACTGAGAAGGTTGGGGTTGTTCAGCCTGGAGAAGAGGAGGCTCCTGGGAGGCCTTATAAGCCTTCCAGTACCTAAAGGGTCCTACAGGAAAGATGAGGAGGTACTCTTTTCAAGGGAGTGTAGTGATAGGAGGAGGGGTAATGGCTTTAAACTGAAAGACGGTAGATTTAGATCATATATAAGGAATTCTGGAAGGTTGCTGAGACACTGGAACAGGTTGTGGATATGGACAATGTTGCATTTGCCAAAAATGTTTCTAGATTACAGACTGAACTGTGATCAGCTTGAGGGGAAAGGAGAAAATAGGGTGGCTATCAGTAGGCATTCTTCATATTTTCTTTTTTCTCTGCCCATAAGCATATCAGTCTTTATTTTAATTAAACCTTGGACAACTATTTTCAGTGATACATTGATCTCATCTAAGTACTGGTGCCATTTTGAGGGTAGCTGTTGGGTGTATGGAGGTGTGGTAAAGGTGCAAGGTTCCACTTCACAGCCTCATAACTGAGCAAAGCTGTTAAAGCCGTTCAACGTTTGTGTGTAGCAATAAGGGGAAAAGGACCAGCAAGCTTCTTCAGCACTTACACACATGTATACAGGCACCACGTGAAGAGTGTGTACTTCCCTATCAGCAATTGTTAGGGTGTCATTTCAGTAAGGACACTCAAGGGTTTTAGCTTTTCCTTTGGGATGTGCCACTGCTGTTGAGCGATTAAGCCTTAACACAGGCTTAGTGACTGTGGTTAATCCCTCACAGTGTACTTGCAAGGAAGGTTGAGGATATAAATTTTTGTTAGTAAATTTAGCTAAACCTGTAAGTATCTGACCAATAGTGTCTTACTCAGCCAAATTAATTCCTTACTCTTAAGACTCTTACAGAGTGAAACAAAGGCATGAAGGTAAGAGATGTGAGGTCAGTCCTTAAAAGAGCACAGCAGGTGTGTTTTTTTATCTCCAATGACAAATTCTTATGCCAAGTAAGATTTCTTCCCCACTGATAGGGGATGGAAAAATAGGATCTTCCTTGAGAATTCTGGTGATTTAGATTCCTTTAAGTGAATGAAGGGGGGGGACGAAGTTGTTATGGGTCATTACACATATATGCACATACTTTTCAGGTTTAAGATTAACCATTAACCTTAAGAAATGGGTTGGACTTTTTCAGAGTTGGTGAAGTTCTAAACGTCAATGTACACTTATACAGAGTGTACAATTATTATACCACATACTCCAAAGACCATCATCATTCCTTTTTGTTTTCTCTCTCCTCTTTGCCCTCCACGTCACCTCCTTCTCTCTGCTTCTTGATTTGAGACTGAAATGAGATCTTAAACACACTGAGATCTTTCTCTGGACTGAGCTTATGCTGTCTTTTCTTTGTGCATGGAGTCAGTTTAAAAAACTTACGTCAGTTCTCCTTTTGTTAGAGGTGATTTTATACATTGCTTTTGCATAATTTTGTTTGCTTTCACTTTTCCCTTATTCTTTTGTTCTGTCCATATGTTTTCTGTGTGATCACTCAATATGTAAGTTTGCTGTGGTCAAAAATACAGTTAATGTCTGCTTTTCTTGTATGGTCTTAAAAAAAAAAAACCAAGTAGTTAAACATAATGTAAATTGGGATGTTTTTTATGATACTCTGTAAGGGCTTCACCAAACTTCACTGCTAAATCTATATATGTGTTATAAAATGGTACATACTGTCACTAATTTAGGAAAGTTTTTGTGAATTGCAGACTAAGAACAACCAGTTCCCTGACAAGGGCATGGGTGCTACTAAAAACATTTCTGTAGTATGTATCTTCCCACAGATGTCATCTTGGGAACGCTTCAGGTAGTTGTCAAGAGACCTTCATAGGTATAAGACTGATGACAGCACAAGTAATAAATTTTACTGTGTTCACTGTTGCTTTTTTTATTTTGAGATTTTGTTTTCAAATACATGTGATTATAAATTTTTCCACATTCGCTCTACCTCCATATGAGTTAACTCTTCACAGTTTCAGGAGAATGTTTTCTACAAATGTGTTAGAAAAACAATGGGCAATTTTTAGTAATGTTTCTCCCTTGTTGGGAGAGCTCTTAGTCATTCAGGTGCAGGCCACTATGCTGGATGTGCTTCTAGACCTGTATCACTCTTCCTAGTGCCGCTGCCGTGGGTCAACACCCCGTCTTTATCCACCAAACAGAGTCATGGCTAATAAAACTCCTTCTGGGCTGTGAGTGGTGTCCTTATACGAGAGCAATACCGTTTGCATTAGAAGTAGATATCCTGTTGGGAGGAGATAAATGTCGTACCTCTGTTTTGAAGAAAGACTTAAAAAGCAGAAATGCAATTTCTAGATGATGGTAACGTGGAATATCTCCTCTTTTCTTCTGCCTTTAGGATTTGCATTTATACAACACCCAAGTTTAATGTTTGAACAGGAAGTGAAGACTCTGTACAACAGCATTCTTTCAGATAAGAACTGTTCAGTAAACTTAAAAATCCAGGTGTTAAAAAACCTCCAGACCTACTTGCAGGAGGAGGATACACGTATGCAGCAGGCAGACAGAGACTGTAAGTGTTGAGTTTTTCTGGGCTAAGGAGACATGCAAAACCTGAAGTTTTTTCTTACAATTACTGTATATGTGAACTGAGTCACTTAAGAGTGTTAACAGATTAGTAATATTGCACCTAGAGTATCTCGGAATAATTTTAAGAAATTCATTATGTGCCCAAATATAGACACATAATAGGTACTTTCAAAGTGTATAAATCATTACAGCAATGATTGCTGTAATGATGCTATTGGTACTGTTTACCAAAATCTTGTCTAAGGTTAATTTGGAGATAGAAGGTAACAAATACAACATAAGAAATTTTTAAATTAAAAACCTTTATTAAAGAACAAGACTTTAATTAAAGTAGTGTCTTTTTACTTTTTTGATGTATATTTACCATCAGACTGTTCTGTGTTTCATGAGATCATAAACCCATTTTAAGACAACTGATATGTGTATGCATTGTGAAGCTTAAGGATCAGCATGCACCAAGTAATGGCAAAGTAAATGGTTATACTCTGGTAAATAGGCTATTGCTTTTTCTCCTTTTTACAGGGAAAAAAGTAGCAAAACAGGAAGACCTGAAAGAAATGGGTGATATTTCCTCAGGGATGAGTAGTTCCATCATGCAGCTATATCTCAAACAGGTCCTTGAAGCTTTCTTTCATACCCAGTCCACTGTACGCCACTTTGCTCTAAATGTCATTGCACTGACATTAAACCAGGGTCTCATCCATCCTGTCCAGGTAAGGTAGGCTTTTATAATGGGAGTTCCTGTTGCTCAGGTTCTCAGAGGTTTCCACACTTGCTACATAAATTTTCTTTTTTTTTCTTTTCGAGCTATGTTAGACCAATTTCTTATTGTAACAATGGAGTTTTACAGAAAGTATGTTTTGAAATCTGTTTATGTTGTTTAGCCAGTGAGGTTCCAAGTGCTGTATTTTCTGGTTTTGGATCAAGATTTAAAAGTCCAGCCAGTGCCTAAGGAGCATGTATAAACATACACTGCATATTTCTGTTACAAATTTCTGGTGTATGCTAATTTAATTTATTTTTTTTTTCATTTGATTCTTTATCCTGGAAAATGTGTCTGCTTGCCTCCACCTCTGTGCCTCATCCAAATACTGTGGAATTTCACAGCCTATGTCAGAACTTCAGAGTCACATCTCCATTATCCTTTGCTTACATGTTCTTGTAATTATTTTTTATTCTGCAGCCATTATGCACGTTCAGTCATAAGTGGTGGTTTGGTTTGTGGTTTTTTTTTTTAAATGGCATTTTTTGTAGTGTAAATTTACAGTTTGAGAGAAAGGGAAATCCTACTTCAAACCCCACACAACTTCTATAATTTATAATGCTGGTCTTTTTTGGTTTTGGTATTATTTGCTTGCAAAACACAGTCAGGTAGTAAGTTCCATGGGATTGCCTATCCCAGTTCCTGAAGCAGTCAGAACATTACAAGAATAGTAGAGTAGTAGAAGAACAAAAACTGAGAAAGAGGAGGTGCAGTGAGTCTGAGTAATCATTTTGTTTGTTTTTCAAGTGTGTGCCGTACTTAATTGCTATGGGCACAGATCCAGAGCCCTCTATGAGAAATAAAGCTGACCAGCAGTTGGTGGAAATAGACAAAAAATATGCTGGGTTCATTCATGTAAGTAATTCTAATTTAATATTTTGCCAAAATACTGTTATGTTCCCTGGTGGTTTAACAGCTGAATATGCCTCAGCTGTAGAAAAATAATACAGAGTAACAAATAAACAATGACTATAAATAGTTGTAAAGATGATCTTGATTCTTCCCTCTGCAGATTTCTGTTCTTAAAAATAGAAAGGATATAATTTGAAGTGTCTCTTTCAGTCCAAAATTTCCTTTAATTTATAATCCACAGTAATATTTTCTTCACTGAATAAATAGCACATAAGAGAATTTATTTGATAAGAGGTAAAGACAGCTGTTTCATAATCTTTAGCAGTGATTTCCTTCTATCAGTGAACCAGAGGAGAAAACACCTTGTAAAAGTCCTTAATGCATATGTATTAGAAAGTTAAGGCATCAAGGCTTTATTAGTTGTAATCTAAGATGAAGAACCATAGGAAGCTGTTTAGATTTGAGGGATCTTTCTGAAAGGAAAACCTGAGGGCTAAGTGAGCACTTGTGAGCTGTGGCATAGTGACAACAATTCTGCTTAAGATCTGAAACTGAGCTGCAGCACCCTTTCCTTCTTTTAGAAGGCCTTGGTCTAGGTCCAGTGTAGGTTCTACATTGTGGGACTTCTCCTATCTTCTTGGGTTCTGCTGCAGTTGAAGCATTACACTTGATGGCATCCAGACACCTAATTCAGTAGGTGAAAGCTAGCAGATGAAATTGTCTGTGTAGGTAGCTGCTATTTAAGACAATGTATAGATGATGAGAGAACTTTGCTGAACAGCGACAGAGGTGGTGTAAGGAGAGCTGGGTATGCAGCCTAGCTAGAGATTCAGTTTGTTCTGAAACTAGAGTAGGAATCTTGAAGTAAAATCAGCTGGAAGTGACAGGATAAATGGAAAAAAAACCCACTTAGTTTCTGTTTACTAGTCCTGTTGTACTAATATTGACTCATTCGTTGGTTTCACTGTAAGTGACATCAACCATACACATTTTATAAAATGCTCTGTTTATGTATGAAAATATTTTACTATTAAAAAAAAAAAAAGAAACGTAAGAAAACAAAAGAAAAAAATTTACTTAAACATAAAGTTGTTTAAATTGGGATACCTGGCTGTAGAGGGGTAGACAGATTAGCCGTATGTTTCTAGCAGAATTGACAGTGACAGCAGTTTACAAGATATTCTGATTTCTGCCACAAGTTCTGTTTTAATCTGTTTGCCACCTCAAAAGGTAGTATCACTTCAGTGCTTGTTTTACAGTTAAACTTCAGGTGCACATCTACTTACAGGGAATAGATTTTACTACTTTGAAAGCAAGGGTTTACATGAAAATACGTTTCCATTTCAGATGAAAGCAGTGGCTGGTATGAAGATGTCTTACCAGGTACAGCAGGCAATTAATACCTGCCCAAAAGATCCTGTAAGAGGTTTTAGGCATGACGAATCCTCCAGTGCATTGTGTTCTCACCTGTACTCCATGATCCGGGGGAACCGCCAGCACAGACGCGCGTTCCTGATTGCTTTGCTGAACCTCTTTGATGACACTGCAGTAAGCATTGCCTTTCCTTCACCTACAAAGGAAAAACATCATTGCAAGCTCAAATGCTCCTTTTAAAATGTGTTTTTATGAGATAATTATTGATAATTTCTTCCCTATTGTACTTTGTTTTGCTTTGTAAAATATTTACCTAACTAATATTTCCTATATAATGAAAAGCATTTGTTACTTTTGTATCATTTTGTACCTCTCTGTTCCCAATTTAGACCGATCAGAAATAATGTATCTTCTGACATGATTCAATTTTGCATATACACATGTTGGTTAAAGTGGGTTTGGGAGGATGTGGAGAATAAAATCTGTGATCGTGTTTTGCTTTAAATTGTGTAGGACCACAGGCTAAGTGTATAAATCTAAGGTGTTTGCGTGTGTATTTATATGTGCTTTTTTTTTTAACTTTCAGAAAACAGAGGTGAATATGCTCTTGTACATAGCAGACAATCTAGCCTGTTTTCCTTATCAAACACAGGAGGAGCCACTGTTTATAATGCATCACATAGACATTACACTATCAGTTTCTGGTAGCAACCTACTACAGTCATTTAAAGAGGTATGTGCATTTGTATTTTAGTGTATTTATTATGGTGGCAACATAAGCTTCTCTCTGATTTGGTCAATTTTTCAGAGAATACAGTATCACTGTTGTGATAGGGACCAACAGCATTATTTTGTAACCAGTAGTTGAAAACAAGCAACCCTTTCTGTTCTGGCCTGCCTGTGTCAGACTGGTTAAAAACTTCCCTTTACAGTGATGCTTGCTTACGTTAGTAAAAAAGAATTATGAAGTTTGAGATATTAATATCAAACATAGATAAACCCCTGCTATGGCTGAATCATTAATCCCATGCAGCTGGAAACACATGAACACAGAGTCATCATGAAATACTAATTTATCGTTGTTGATTGTATAATGTTAATAATAAAATCCAGATGGCTGTTGTCAGGTAGGTTATGGCAGTTGCATGTGTGTTGACTGAGAGACTAAGTACATTGTTTATGGCAAGAGAAGAGTGCACAATAAATCCTCTGTTAAGGCAGCATATAAGAACCTGAACCATGGGGTAGTGTCTGTTGTTATGGCAGTGCACAGCTCTGAGAAAAAGGCCTCTGCTGCTTAAGGACTTCAGTGTCTTCATTTCCTGGACGGCTTTAACAGTGGAAGGTGCAAATTGTCAGGAAGCAAATCTGTGTCTAGACTGTCCCAGCTGAGTAGTGAATAAAGGTCGGAGTTGTTTTCTGGAAAGTGTACTGCTTTGGATTCTTACGCTGCCAAAGCTGATTTTCAATCTGCTAGAAAGGGACAGCACGTTCCTCAAGTTAGGGACCCATGTGTAGCAGCCAGCCCAGAAAGGAAGAGAACCTGCTTAGGACCTCTGAATGAATTTCTGTGTTATGAAAAACCATACCATGTGTTATAGTAATGCACACATGAAATTCTGTCGCTCTACAAGTAGTGGAACTGATTACTGTGGATACTGTGTGTGATCTCTTGAGGGTTCCTCTGGTCAGCAGTGTAATTAGTGTAGTAGAATTATAGGAGACAAGGATTAAAACCAGCTCGGACTGGTCTGTAGCAAAGTACCTGTGGAAAAGTAGTGACACACAGAAGTGGTATCCAGGAGAACAAAACCAGAATTTCCTTCCAGTTATATAGTATTTGCTTTCTGTTGCACTTTTCAGTCACTGCTAACAAGCTTGAGCAGTCTTTTAACAGTAAGATGCCAGTGTAGTACTTGTTGCTTCAGTTCCTTCTGTACCCACCTTACGAAAAATGTGGACTTTGTATCAATTTTTCAGCATTTTTTTGCCATTAAAAAATTCTATTTTTCGTATCGTTATGAAATAGTAGCATTGTTCAGGAAATTCTTGTTGATTTAAGCCTGAATTGATGTTGGAAATATTTTTTTTTTAAGAAACATACATGATGCCATTAATTTTGGAATGTGTGTCTTGCAATTTCTCTGTCTTGCAGTCTATGGTGAAAGACAAAAAAAAGGAAAGAAAACCTTCCTCAGATGAGGAGACTGAGAGTGACAGTAACAGTGGCAGTGAGAGCGAGAGCGAGGAGGAGGCTTCCAAGCCTCGGAGGTTGCGGAAGCGAGTAGAGTCTGATTCAGATTCCGATGAAGAGAATGATATCAATGCTGTGATGAAATGTTTGCCAGAAAACTCAGCTCCTTTAATTGAATTTGCAAATGTCTCCCAAGGCATATTACTACTTTTGATGCTGAAACAGCATTTGAAGAACCTCTGTGGATTTTCTGACAGGTAAGGATACTTAGATATAGTTATTTACATAGTGATGAGTTGAATGTTGTGAGACTTCAGCTTAAAAAAGCAATTATTAAATTTCTTACCAGGATGTCTATTTTACATGGAATGACTAAAATATAACTACTTACACCGAAGATTTGTAAAGCTCTTCCTTGAAATTACTTTGGACTTTCCTTAAAAATTCTTCTTTCTTGTTTTCTTTGAACAGTAAAATTCAGAAATATTCTCCATCTGAATCTGCAAAAGTTTATGATAAAGCGATAAATAGGAAGACAGGAGTGCACTTCCATCCAAAACAGACTCTGGATTTTCTGCGGAGTGATATGGCTAATTCCAAGATCACTGAAGAAGTGAAGAGGAGTATAGTAAAACAGTACTTAGATGTAAGTAAAGTTTCTGTGCAGAAAACCTGAAGTCCTTTCAAACTATGTAACGCAATATAAACCTGAAAGTAGATGCTGATGTATTGGATGAATGTTTCAAAATGTAAATTCCTGGTAATCTTACATGATAGCTCACCGCTTCCTTTGAGGACGTTTAGCAGGACTATCTTTCAAAGACTTCTAATAGTTTTAAACACAGTAAAAATTAATTTCAGCTAAAGGATATTCATCTTTATGGTGTATATTCTAGTTTCGAGTATCCATCTTGTATACTTCTCCCATATAACTTGTTCATTTTATCCCTGACTGTTTCTGTCATAGGAACAGAAACTAGATCTGGTGTATTTACCGACACATACCCACCCCACACCCCCAAGTCTCTAAATTAGAGAAAACCTGCAGTTTTGGAAACATGGAGAGAAAGCTTTTAACGTATCTGCTAAAAAGAGATAGCAAAGTAAAAAGTTCACAGGAAAAAACATAAGCTGTTGAAGTGTGAAGTTGCCTGCTATTTGTTTTACCTTGTTTCTTTACCTCCCCGTTTGTTTTTTACTTCATATAGCATGATATAAAAGTCTATTTTTAAAATTACAGTGTGGACTAATGTGTTTTTCTAATAGTTCAAGCTCCTTATGGAACAT